TATATATATATATATCTATAAATACATCTATATATGCATAAAATGCCATCAATCATCAATACAATGTTCAACTAAATTAATAATACATTAATTAAGTTATTAATTTAATAAATTAATGAAGTTAATATAAAATTATTTATAACAAATTATAATGCATCTATGAATAATTATCGAACATACGAAAATCTCACTCACCTCTCCTTTGGCGATAAAATCTTCTATAGCTTCCACTGCATCTTTGAATGCTCCAGATTTGCTAGATTTCACTAAAGTATCCTTATATTCTTGGTAGGGTTTAATGTGGGATTCTTCTATCCATGCGCTACAAGAAAGACATCATTGAGAATTATAAATCATAGTAACACTGTGATTCTATGAGTAAAATGAGATAAACAATTTAAAAATAGAACTTACTAATTGTTTGTCCCAAAGAAGAAGATACATTGTACTGGTCCCTTTTTAGCATTCGCGGGCTTCTTCAAGTCCTTTGAAGGAACTGATACCTTTACATGCATTATAACATCAATATATAAGTACTGAGAGAATTATAATTAATATTATACAAAACTAATAATAATCGTAACATTTATTTTATCATATACATCTTGAATTCAATTTCAATTTACAATCCATTTGGAAAACAGTATCATTGAAAATAATATCAAACTTTTACAAAATAAAAATAATATATTTATTAAAAAATTAACATTAACAAAATATTTTACATTTATTATCGCGTGTACAAATCATTAGATATAAACTTTTAATAATTTTAAATGCATTTTAAAATTAAGAAAGATAAACATATTAGAAATAAATTTCCATCATTTTTCCATCTGCAAACACTATGTTTTATAATTACATATAGTTTTCTCTTTATATTAAGATTAAACTTTCCGACCTAGGGCCATATCCACTGTTCTCAGAATACGGGTGTCATAATAATACAAGGATGTCTCTTTCATTACAATCTTATTTGTCACTTATAAGTCACTTATAAATTTATTGGTACTATATAAGTAAACTTATAAGTGACAAATGTGATAAGATCCTATGATACCGTATTATTATGATTGTTCTACCTGGAGGTTGATTGTATATTTTGAAATAAAATGAAAATTACAAAAGTGAACAAAATTACTACAATATCTATAATTTCAATGACTAATACCTAGTGAATTTACCTACTTTTGTAATTTTTATTTCATTTTAAAGTACACAATCGACCCCCTAGGTTGATAATTCACTCTAATATTCGTACGGCCCTACCGTGCACGGCGGTTGCCGCGTAAAAACAGCCTCCAGAGAACTGCGGGAGTTATTCATTGAACGTTCCTAATCCTAAAATATTCTTTCTCCTATCTTCTCTCACATACTCTCGCATGACAGAATAATCGTCTGGGAAGATATTCATAATCCGATCTTATGTTCAAGACCATATCAAGTCACAATCAATTTTATGATTCGATTCAAACAATAACGCACGTCTCATATATATAAGTAATATAACGAAGTTATGAAGTAGTCTCAAGTTCGTACCTAAGAATGTTCTTGATTGTAATATCAGAATATGATTACCGGCCTCGCTAAAAACTAGTAGAAAATGCATCGTTGACAACCTCGAGATCCTGGCGTAATCACAGACCGTTCGCCCGACACGCCGCTGACGTCACGCGTTTCCGCCAATCGGAAAGGAGGAAATGGATTACGCGGGACAAATTCTGAAGTCTTGGCGACAGCAGAACGTCCAACGGTACTGGTCGACCCAGAAGAAATTTCGAAACCTGCAGCGAGACATGTGACGGAAAGAGTGGGAGAGGAGGGTCCCATCCTGCTGGGAGCTCGCCGAGCGTGGAAGGTAGATCCACGGGAGGTTGCAAGGGATTTAGGTTATAAGCTCCCGCGGCTTGCGCGCCAATTTGAATTCGAAGGTCGGGTGTGGCGGGAGACAGCGCTGCTCCGTACGACGCGATACGCCGCAACGCCGCAGCCAGTGGCGTCGACAGCTGGTGCATTCCGTCGCGGCGGCGAACGTCGACGAGGCAGAACGATACGAAAACCGCCAAATACGAGCGCGCGCGCGCAGAAGCGACGTTAACGGGAAGAGAAGCGCGAACTCACGTCGCGAAGCTTAGTGAGAATCGAGGGGAGGGGGACTTCACTTACCCGGCCGGGCCACGGCGAGAATCCCTTCATCTTCGCCCTGAAAGTCAGAAAAAAAAGATGTACCACATGAAATTAGACTGTACGAATGAACACGGGATATACGATTGCGTTATCGCGCGCACTTGAAATACACACCATACTAAATCACCCAGTTTGAATACTTCCGACATCGCGAGGACGATGAACAATGCTCGACAAGTTACTCCGAACGTCAGCGAGCGACTGACTTGCGTGCGAAGCGTCGTTTGTGCACGACGACATGACCGCGAGCCGCGCCATCTATGCGTCCCCCTTTCGAGCTCCCCCCCCTCATCATGCCACTTTATTTTTCGCTCCGTCGACCGAGACGCAAATAAATAATATTTCTGTATAACGTGATGAAATAAAGCGTTGTTCTTCATAAAAATATACTACAAAACTTATCGGAAAAACAACAAGAGAGTTATTAAGATTGTTTTCCGGCGTGCCGCGCTACTTTCGGTGACTAGAGTCCCGTCCTAAAGGACGTTCTACAATGCATTGCGAATATCTGTCGCCAATCGCAATGCTTCTCAACAGCCAATCAAAAACATCAATAGATGCATCCAGAAACACGACCACTCAGTGAGTTCTTGCATCTGAGTGGCATATTCCATTAGATCTAAAAATATAGACCAAACAGGTACAAGAACTCATTGAGAACACCTAATAATTGCTACGACGCTTTTCGTTTAGTAACCTCGGATTTACAATAGATGTTTTAAGCCTTAAGTCGTAAGAAATTGACCAATTACAATTGAATGCGAGAAGAATAATTGATTATGATTCGTTTATTTCTTATGACTTAGGCTTAAAAATCTATTGTAGATCTGGACTAATGCATAATTAAAAAACACAGACAATAGGAACAGGCAATAATACTTAACAAATTTTAAGAAATTTATTATTCTCTGTCTCTATTATTTGTATTTTTCAATTATCTCTTATGGATCTTCTACAATAAGCCATTAGTCATAAATCAGAAGTCAGAAGCTAAAAAATGACTAATCACAGTCATCAATTTTTAGCTTCTAACTTCTGATTTATAACTAATGACTTATTATAGAAGACTCATCAGGCTTTACAGTTACTGTTATAAATAGTGTGTGCGACAGCCCTAAAGGGATATAAAAATATATTTATATCAGAGAGAAACCTTAATAAAAGTTTTCTCTCTGCTTATATTAAAAATGATCGCATTCAATTGGTAAAATAGCTTTAGGAAATCGATCAATCACAATCGAATTTGAGGAGAAAACTCAACTATGATTGGTCAGTTCCTTAAGGCTTATTATACTTGTTTTTTTTTTTTTTTTTTTTTTTGCGTAATAAGTGTTGACTCGCAACTCACGACTGTGACTAACCAATCGTCGCTTGGCATTCCATGTCTCATTATCCGAATTTCCAGATATTGAAAATGTGATGTTTGTAAATTTACTGATGATAATGAAATGAATACTTGCCAAAAAAATGAAAAAAGGAGAAAGAAGAGATGAATGATTGTACCAATTGATCCAGTGCGATCGGAGCCTGAGGAACCTACGGTCCCGTAAATCGAGAAAACGATAGACGTTACTCCAGGACGATCGCCAGTCGTCACGTCGATTACGACTTATTAGCAATACCAGCTGTCAAGGCATTGATTGCGAGAGCTTTTTACCGTTTGTCTCGGACTCGAGCAAGGACGTTTCGCGTCCTGCAAACGCGTACTCGTTCTCTCAGGAAAAGTTCTCGCGATTTATAGTCTCGCAGCTACGCCGTGCAAATCTGATCAGAAATGGACAGTAACGCCCGTCATAATACGGTACGTCTATCCCATGACGAGATTGCAAATTGCTGTGGTTTCGCATTCATCAAGAACACCTCTCACATGATCTTTTCTATTCACTCAAAATACTTTTTATTGTCACCTTGACAAGTCTGTGATCGTCAACGTGTTTCCTCGCGCGATCGTAGTTTGCTCTGTGTTTGTCCTGTCATACGCTGGTGTCTTGCGTTGTTTTCATCATTCTTGTGCGCAAAAATATCACGTCAGTGGTCTTCACCGAAGCATTAATTCATGTCTCATGCAGCGTAGAACCAAAATTTAAGTCAATAAAAATATGTCTGACTATGCTCATTTCACTGTCGCTTCACAAGGTCTTTACTTCTAACGGAAACATACTGCATCAAAGTGAAACCGATTGACGATTTCGATGGAAACTAAACTACTGTTATCTATGATCCAGAAAAACATGTACATAATAATTGCTTTTCATTTACACTAAAACTCGGATAATTCTTATTTATGAAATCATAACTCAGTTGAATGAATGTTCCTTTTTATTCTGACAAGTAAGATTCAACTTAATTTTTATCTACAATTTACACAAGTTCGAGACTGCGTGTTTTACTGAATCTTATTAAATCACATTAAAAAGTAAAAAAAGATTATAATTTTGTGTTATTATGCAATAACTTTATTACTAAAGTAAGCAAGTGATATCACTATCTCAATATAAAATAATCATAACTATATTTAGTATTATTTGAGTAAAAATTGAAAGCAATCAATATATTTTGTATATTTTGATTCCAATTTGATGTATGTATATTTTGATTATAAAATTTTTGATAGTTATTCTTGTCGAAGGCACAATGTTCAGAGGATAATAATGCTTTACCGTTTTTTTTTTATGATAAAGTAATGTAAATGTTATTCTATATTTGTTATTCACTTGAATTTCATGAAAAATATAATGATGTTTGTATCAACTTGAATCACTAAATGGAAAGCATCCAATACTTTGTGAAGTATATGGATTTACTGACATTTATTTTATGCATTGTTTCACAGCTACCTCAAGCAGACACAGATACTGGTGGCGAAACATCAAGTCAAAACGAAATTCCTACGGTTACTGTAGCAATGCCATTTATGCAAGTTGACATGCTTGGACATTCTGGAGCATCTACTGCTGGTGCACACTCTACAACGACAAACCGAATGGTAATATATTGTAATATAATATAATAAGCTTGTTTATTGTAACTGAATTGATTTACAATATATTAATTATTTTAAAAATGGAATAGATAGAAAGTTTAAATGTAGTTTTAGAACACACACACGCGCGCGCGCGCACGCACGCACGCACACACATACACACACAGAGGACAAGCCCATTACATAATGTTACATAAATTATATTATTATGTTAATTTTATATAATTTATGTAGTCTATTTAATTTATGTAATATTTTATATAATTCATATTTATTTATGTAATATTTAACATAAATGCATAAATTATATCATATTATATAATACATAAAATATGTACAATTTTATATGATTTGAATAACTATTAATCGAGTAAAATTATTTAGACTGATGGGGAAGAGATTCCACCTCCGAAACTAGATTTCTCTGCACCACCACCTTATGAAGTAGCTACAAAATTACCCAGTTATGAAGAGGTTCAGCGTGAAAAGACTCTACAAGGAGAGCCACAACCTCAAGTACACATGGTACACAACTGTATTCAAAAAAATTTTAATATACGTGTCTATATTTCGAAATATTCTGTTTCTCTAGAGCTCTAAATCTCTTTTTACAGCCAGGAAATATTAGACCACCACAGCAGCCTTTAACAATATTGGCAATAGATACTGAAGCTGCGGAAGGAGATCCAGAAAGTGGGCTACTTGGCACAGATTTTATGTTCTTCACAGCGTTTCTTGGTGGGATATCTTTATATTTTAAGTTAAAGTTTAAATCGATAAGAATTTAATAAGAAAATATATCTTCATATTCCACAAAATCTAATATCTTCCATAATGACAATTTGCACTAATTTATCTTTACAGTCGCATTTTTATTCAACTGGATCGGATTTTTGTTACTGATGTGTTTCTGTCACACTATTGCTTCTCGTTACGGTGCACTAGCTGGCTTTGGATTGTCTCTCACGAAGTGGACACTCATTGTTAAACACTCTACCGACCTTGCTTCGCGAGAGAATTCATGGCTATGGTGGTTGATAATGGCATTTGGTTTGTATAATGTTTAAGAAAGATAATTAAACTTACAAAAGATATTTTAGACGAAGGCAACTACTAAAAAGATAAATTTTGATGCGATTTATTTTTCTAGGTGTTCTAATTTGTGTACGTGCTATCATTCAATATTTAAACATCAAACGAGGATGGAGATTATTGTCCGGAAGCGCACAGGAGCGTTTACTTTTTTTCTATTAAAAATCATAAAATGCACCTTTTTTTCTTTATCAACTTGGCTTTAGAACAAACAAGCATTTCTATGTGGGTCATATTTGTATAATATATAATCGACTTTCTCTCTTAAGAGAGAGCATCGTGTAGATCGTAATATCTGTCAATCGTATCTATATAGAACAAAAATGAGAACTTTAAAATGATTTGCCAAATTTACTGTATGAAACAGATTAGTACGATTTAAAAAAACGATGAAAAGAATTAGCTCGTTTTTCGCATATACACATATATGGAGGACCTACAAACGCTATTTTATGTGATGTTACATATAGACTACGGAAAAAAGCAAATGTACATTTTTATTGCTCAAAATAATACGAACAATGCTTTAAATTAATGATTTTATTCATTTTAAGCGTTGTTCATTTGAATGCAAATCACTGAAAAAAGGTAAGTGTGCAGAGCGCATGTCAAATCGCAATTTATGAAAAACTGACAAGTCAAAATGAATCGCGTAAAGAGATAAAATATACAATTCGTTATTATTTCGAAAAAATAAATTATAAATAAAAGTTTTCTAATAGAATATAATACATTTCTAATGTTAGAAAAGCTTCTAGAGATTGACTACTTACTAAATATGATAAGAATATTAATATCTGGCTTTATATAGATATTATAATTTATATATACATAAAATATATATAGCGAGAATTCTTGTTGAGGAAGAATTCTGAAAATATAAATAAAAATGATAAATATTACATATGTGTATTAAAATTTATTATATAAAGCGATATGCGAGTACATGTTATTCTGTGAGAAATTTCATTGTTATACTCATTACAACGATAAAACAAAGGAATATTTAGAACTTTATATTTTTCCCTCTCCTTATGTTACAAAAATCATAGTTCTTTGAATTTTGGGAAATTCTTGAAAATTAGAAAAATTGTTAGAATTGATTTTTTTAAATTTTTGATAAATATATATTATATTGTCAGCAAAGTTATGTACAAATATATAGAATTATAATAAATTGATATATCAATTTATTAAACAATTCTTAAATTTTTTACTCGGTCTTTTGTAGACGTGTTAGAATTAGAACTTAAATTATTCATGTTATTAGAATAACTTAAAATTGATTCATAAATAGTGTTAATATATGAATGTTTTCTGGACATTAGATGTCTTTTGATAGTTTTATAAAACATATAAAAAAAATTTTAAAATATCTATTAGATGATTTTAGAAAGACCAAATGTATGTGTCTGTTAAATTATTTTAAAAAGTTAATTATGTTTTCATGAAAATTATATATATTTATTTCGTATACTTTAATCCCGAAAAAGGATTTTCAAATCTATGAAAGAGAAAAAAGTAATTGTTATACAAAAATTATTGCGTTTAGTCGGTATAATATCACCGACGAGAATATATCTCGTCGGTGGTAATGCAGACGATTTTAGGATTGCCTTAAGTCTTCGCTAATTGGAACTTGGATCTGCGTTAACTGGGATTCGAATTTCCGCTAACTATGTTTCGAGTATCCGCTAACTAAGGTTTGAATTTTTATTGACGTTGAACAAGGTTGAGTCTTTACTAAATCGGTTAATATACGCTATCTAATATATTGCATCGCAAGAGGTCCCATGGTGTAATGGTTAGCACTCTGGACTCTGAATCCAGCGATCCGAGTTCAAATCTCGGTGGGACCTGATCTTTCTTTTTTTTAAAGTTACAAATAATTTTTTATTAATATTCAAATAGTAATATTTAAAATAAAAATAAAATAAATATTTCACGTGCATATATATATATAACATTTATATATATATAATTACATATTCATTTCAGATGTAATTAAAATTACGCCTTATTATAGGTAAATGATTTTCTTACAGTTTATTTATTGAGAATAACAATATAAGTATAAAAAATTTATGGAATATTTTATATTTATATTTTTCGTGATGACGTCAGAAACAAGTAAACAAAAATCTTATTAATTTAAATAAAAAGGAATAACATAAAATAAATGAAAACATGATTTATTGTTAAACATTGTGCATATGTTACAAAATGATTTCAGTCCACTTGAAGACATTTGTGTGGAAATAAACGAACTTTTTTAAGTTCAAATTAGAAAACTCTATTAATTGTGTTCTTAGAAAGTGTTTTTATTCTGCTTTGGATTTATCTGTTATTTAAATTTATCTGATCCAAGTTCTTACTCTTGTACAACTTTAATTATAGAAATTAAACAATCTAATTTTCCTACAAAAATTTTTATTATACAAAAAATTTTGGAAATAAAAATTTCGTTTTTGTTCAGCGAGCTTTCATAAATAAAAAAATGTATGCGAGTAAAAGTGAGTCATTTTGCATAATTCAATCTCATAAAATTTTCGAATTTATTTTCGCTATTAAAAAATTTTCACAAATCAGTCAAATTACTGCGGTTAAGTTTCCATGTGTTAAGATATTATCATCAATAATTAACTTATTGTTCGACCTATTATTCGAGAGCAGGTGCGTATCAAGCAACCCAGGATTCCCCAGGAAGAAAGACAACACAACAATCGACAAGTGCGAGTAACATTGCATTCACGCAGCGACATCGTGTACGTCAAATTTGCGAGATAAGAATTTCACCGTGGTGATCGTACTGAGAAGGAAATAATATGAAACAACCTTCGGAAGAGAATAAGAACAGTTTGCTCAATAATGAGGACAACCCCGTGGTTTTTTTGGATGTGGCGATCGGATCCGAAAAAGGTATGAATAGTAAGGTTATGTACGGTGCAAACACCAACTCACGGTCTTATTGTTTTTCAGTGGGAAGAGTTGTCATAGAATTGTTCAAGGATGTCGTGCCACGGACTGCAGAGAATTTTCGTGTTCTGTGTACCGGTGAGAAAGGTGCCGGGTTGAAGGCTCCAAAACTACATTACAAGGGAACTATCTTTCACAAAGGTGCGCATTACCGTGATCACGAATGTTCGATTCCTTACAACTTTATTCCTTGTCATAATTCTAAAGCCTATAAAAATATTTCTAAACCTTGCGATCTTAAGTACTTGTATGTTCCTTATTTATCTTTTTGAAATTGGATAGAATTAGAATTCTTTTGCTGATGAGAATAGAAATAGAAATATTTTCCATTTGATGATTATCCATCGATAATATAAATCAACGCAGCGTATTCTATCTTTATTGCTTATTGGATGTCAAGAAATTTAGACTGATGTTTGTATCGAATTGTGTCACTAATGTTTGTCCCTAATTTAATTTTAATCTTGGTTCAACTAACTCTTTCATCTATTTCTAGTTCTAAGAATTAGAAAAAGATGTGGAGTCAAACCGAGATTAATTTACATTAGTAGAAACAGACATAATAAATGGAATTAGACATCCAAAATTTAATTTATTATGACATTCATTTATCGTATACACATATTTATCACCTCAGCCAAGGCTTTTGGAAATATAAATCATTTATTTATTTATTTATTTTTTTAGGGTAAATAGAGTTAAAGTTTGATTTATGACAATTGATTTATGACTATCATAGGCTGCATCATTTGTCTTCCTTAAAATGTGGTTCTACAATGAGTTGATAATTGAAAGTTTTAATCTTAGTTGTCTAAATTGGCTATTAGCCAATTTCACTGATTAAAACTTAGAATTAGGATTATTGACTCATTGTAGAATCTACGTAACATTTGATAACCAATAAGAGGTTTGTTCGTGTTGTATGCTCCAATACGCACCTTATCACAGCTCTTACTCACTCCAATAAACAAGCATTGAAGTAAAATTTGAATATCACATTTCCCTAACTTAAAAATAACTAAAAAATAAATAAAAAGGGCTCAAGGGAGAGCGCAAATTGTTCAAAGAAATCTCTCAATATAAAAGTTAAATTTATTGAAGAGACAATAGAATAAAGAAAAATCGTTAAACGATAATAAATTTTGTATAGTTTTGATTAGTCTTTTAACCTTCTTCAGTGATAATAACGCAACTTTACATACTTGAACTGCCTAATGTATAAAAAAAGATCGGAAGATGTGAAATTCATTTATTGCGGTCTCCAGGGAAGCCAAATTAAGTTATATGTCGAGAATACATTTTCCCATGCCAATTACAAGGCTGGATGGAACTCATAATTTTCGGTGCCTTTAATAATAAAATAAAATAAATATTTTCTTATGAGAAAATGGATGTACAAAGAACTCACTCGTCAACGAATACTGCAAGCACATAAAGTAAACTGCTAATCTTAAAAAATTTTTTAATCAAATTATAAAATAATAAATAGAAATGATAAATAAAATTCCGTATTGTACATTTTATTTGTCATCTATTTATTATTTTATAATTTGACTTAACAATTTTTTAATTGTGAACATTCCTTGCTATCAAGACTTTGGATTAGCAGTTTACTTTATGTGCTTGCAGTATTCGTTGATGGGTGAATTCTTTGTACATCCATTTTCCCATAAGAAAATACTTATTTTATTTTATTATTAAAGGCACCGAAAATTGTGAATTCCATCCAGCCTTGTAACTGGCATGGGAAAATGTTTTTCTTGACAGAGAACTTAATTTGGCTTCTCTGGAGACTATAACAAATAAATGTAACTTTTATATTGAAAGATTTCTTTGAACAATTTTTGCGCATTCTGAACAGCGCGCCTACTCCCTCGAGTCCTTTTTATTTATTTTTTAGTTGCATTGAAGTAAGTAAGAACTATAATAAGAGTATGCGGCACAAACAAATCTAAGGATAATTCTAAGAGCTTTATGAGCGTGAATTAGACTACAGTCATATATGTACAATTTTGTTTGAGTTACCACTTTAGTTTAGAGTCTATTCTTTATTTACACTAATTGTACTTAAAGTGAAATGGATATGTATTTTTTCGAAATTTAGCAAAAACGAGATAAAAAATTATAATGCAGTCTAGTGCAACGAATAGGTGTTTTGGAAATGTGGATCATTTATTCTTTTTATT